GACGGCGTGCCAGCGCTGCTCATGCAGAACAGCAGAGCACCCGCTTCGCAGGTGCGCGCAGATGATTGGCGTGCAGAGTCTCGTCACCTGCACAGCGCACACACCACGTCAACCTCGAGCTGACGACTGCCTCTGATCCGCCACGACGACCTCGGGATACCACTACCGAGGTCGGGCTCGCCAACTTGGCCTGGGCGACCGTCGCACTCCTCCGCAGCACTTCGTCACCCAGGTAACCTGGTCGACCAGGCAACCAAGTCAACCAGCAGCTCCCGTACGTGCCCGTCGACCTCCCAAGTCGATGGCCACCTCCAGTCGACCTCACCATGCCGACCACACCCTCGGTCGACGTCACTCCTGGTCGACCAGCTTCACGTCGACCAGTGCAGTTGTCGGCCGACCACCCAAGTCGGCCTCCCGAGGTCGGCGTCACGAAGATGACGCCCCGCTACTCGACGTCTCACTGCTCGGCGTCCTGCGTCGAGGTCGACGTCGGCCCCTCCTTCGTCAACCACGTCCTTCGGAGGTCGACTCCCAAGTCGACCTCCCCTGAAGTCGGCGCCATCCTGAAGTTGGTGCCCGTGCAGAAACCCCCGTGCAGGTCGGCCTCCTCGTCGACCAGCTCGCCCACTGCTGCAGGTCGGCTGCTCCCCTCACACCCGACCACGAAGTCGACTCCGCCCAAGCGAGGACGGGGCCACCCCACAACTCCCGTTGACAAATCTGCCGCTTTCCATCACCCCGCCCCATTCTCCTGCTTTCCATCACCCCGCCCCATTCTCCCGCTTTCCATCACCCCGCCCCATTCTCCTGCTTTCCATCACCCCGCCCCATTCTCCCGCTTTCCATCACCCCGCCCCATTCTCCCGCTTTCCATCACCCCGCCCCATTCTCCCGCTTTCCATCACCCCGCCCCATTCTCCCGCTTTCCATCACCTCGTCCCATTCTCCCTCTTTTCATCACCCCGCCCCATTCTCCCTCTTTCCATCACCCCGCCCCATTCTCCCGCTTTCCATCACCCCGGCCCATTCTCCCTATTTCCATCACCCCGCCCCATTCTCCCACTTTCCATCACCCCGCCCCATTCTCCCGCTTTCCATCACCCCGCCCCATTGTCCCGCTTTCCATCACCCCGCCCCATTCTCCCTCTTTCCATCACCCCGCCCCATTCTCCCTCTTTCCATCACCCCGCCCCATTCTCCCTCTTTCCATCATCCCGCCCCATTCTCCCTATTTCCATCATCCCGCCCCATTCTCCCGCTTTCCATCACCCCGCCCCATTCTCCAGCTCTCCATCACCCCGCCCCATTCTCCCGCTTTCCATCACCCCGCCCCATTCTCCCGCTTTCCATCACCCCGCCCCATTCTCCCGCTTTCCATCACCCCGCCCCATTCTCCCTCTTTTCATCATCCCGCCCCATTCTCCCTCTTTCCATCACCCCGCCCCATTCTCCCTCTTTCCATCACCCCGCCCCATTCTCCCGCTTTCCATCACCCCGGCCCATTCTCCCTATTTCCATCACCCCGCCCCATTCTCCCTATTTCCATCACCCCGCCCCATTCTCCCGCTTTCCATCACCCCGCCCCATTCTCCCGCTTTCCATCACCCCGCCCCATTGTCCCGCTTTCCATCACGCCGCCCCATTCTCCCTCTTTCCATCACCCCGCCCCATTCTCCCTCTTTCCATCACCCCGCCCCATTCTCCCTCTTTCCATCACCCCGCCCCATTCTTCCTATTTCCATCACCCTGCCCCATTCTTCCGCTTTCCATCACCCCGCCCCATTCTCCAGCTCTCCATCACCCCGCCCCATTCTCCCGCTTTCCATCACCCCGCCCCATTCTCCCGCTTTCCATCACCCCGCCCCATTCTCCCGCTTTCGATCACCCCGCCCCATTCTTCCGCTTTCCATCACCCCGCCCCATTCTCCAGCTTTCCAACACCCCGCCCCATTCTCCAGCTTTCCATCACCCCGCCCCATTCTCCCGATTTCCATCACCCCGCCCCATTCTCCCTCTTTCCATCACCCCGCCCCATTCTCCCTCTTTCCATCACCCCGCCCCATTCTCCCTCTTTCCATCACCCCACCCCATTCTCCCGCTTTCCATCACCCCGCCCCATTCTCCCTCTTTCCATCACCTCGCCCCATTCTCTCTCTTTCCATCACCCCGCCCCATTCTCCCTCTTTCCATCACCCCGCCCCATTCTCCCTCTTTCCATCACCTCGCCCCATTCTTCCGCTTTCCATCACCCCGCCCCATTCTTCCGCTTTCCATCACCCCGCCCCATTCTCCCGCTTTCCATCACCCCGCCCCATTCTCCCGCTTTCCATCACCCCGCCCCATTCTCCCGCTTTCCATCACCCCGCCCCATTCTCCCGCTTTCCATCACCCCGCCCCATTCTCCCGCTTTCCATCACCCCGCCCCATTCTCCAGCTTTCCATCACCCCGCCCCATTCTCCCGCTTTCCATCACCCTGCCCCATTCTCCCTCTTTTCATCATCCCGCCCCATTCTCCCTCTTTCCATCACCCCGCCCCATTCTCCCTCTTTCCATCACCCCACCCCATTCTCCCTATTTCCATCACCCCGCCCCATTCTCCCGCTTTCCATCACCCCGCCCCATTCTCCCTCTTTCCATCACCCCGCCCCATTCTCTCTCTTTCCATCACCCCGCCCCATTCTCCCTCTTTCCATCACCCCGCCCCATTCTTCCGCTTTCCATCACCCCGCCCCATTCTCCCTATTTCCATCACCCCGCCCCATTCTTCCGCTTTCCATCACCCCGCCCCATTCTCCAGCATTCCATCACCCCGCCCCATTCTCCCGCTTTCCATCACCCCGCCCCATTCTCCCGCTTTCCATCACCCCGCCCCATTCTCCCGCTTTCCATCACCCCGCCCCATTCTCCCGCTTTCCATCACCCCGCCCCATTCTTCCGCTTTCCATCACCCCGCCCCATTAACCCTCTTTCCATCACCCCGCCCCATTCTCCCTCTTTCCATCACCGTGCCCCATTCTTCTGCTTTTCATCACCCCGCCCCATTTTCCCTCTTTCCATCACCCCGCCCCATTCTTCCGCTTTTCATCACCCCGCCCCATTCTCCTTCTTTCCATCACCCCGCCCCATTCTCCCTCTTTCCATCAGCCCGCCCCATTCTCCCGCTTTCCACCACCCTGCCCCATTCTCCCGCTTTCCATCACCCTGCCCCATTCTCCCGCTTTCCATCACCCCGCCCCATTCTCCCGCTTTCCATCACCCCGCCATATTCTTCCTCTTTCCATCACCCCGCCCCGTTCTCCCGCTTTCCATCACGCCGCCCCATTCTCATGCTTTCCATCACCCCGCCCCATTCTCCCGCTTTCCATCACCCCGCCCCATTCTCCCGCTTTGCATCACCCTGCCCCATTCTCCCTCTTTCCATCACCCTGCCCCATTCTCCCTCTTTCCATCACCCCACCCTATTCTCCCTCTTTCCATCACCCCGCCCCACTCTCCCGCTTTCCATCACCCCGCCCCATTCTCCCGCTTTCCATCACCCCACCCCATTCTCCCGCTTTCCATCACCCCGCCCTATTCTCCCGCTTTCCACCACCCTGCCCCATTCTCCCGCTTTCCATCACCCTGCCCCATTCTCCCGCTTTCCATCACCCCGCTCCATTCTCCCGCTTTCCATCACCCCGCCCCATTCTCCCGCTTTCTATCACCCCGCCCCATTCTCAAGCTTTCCATCACCCCGCCCCATTCTCCTGCTTTCCATCACCCCGCCCCATTCTCCCGCTTTCCATCACCTCGCCCCATTATCCCGCTTTTCATCACCCCGCCCCATTCTCCCGCTTTCCATCACCCCGGCCCATTCTCCCGTTTTCCATCACCCCGCCCCATTCTCCTGCTTTCCATCACCCCGCCCTATTCTCCCGCTTTCCATCACCCCGCCCCATTCTTCCGCTTTCCATCACCCCGTCCCATTCTCCCTCTATTCATCACCTCGCCCCATTCTCCCTCTTTCCACCACCCCGCCCCATTCTCCCGCTTTCCATCACCCCAGCCCATTCTCCCTATTTCCATCACGACGCTCCATTCTCCCACTTTCCATCACCCCGCCCCATTCTCCCGCTTTCCGTCACCTCGCCCCATTCTCCCGCTTTCCATCACCCCGCCCCATTCTCCCTCTTTCCATCACCCCGCCCCAGTCTCCCTCTTTCCATCACCCCGCCCCATTCTCCCTATTTCCATCACCCTGCCCCATGCTCCCTCTATCCATCACCCCGCCCCATCCTCCCTATTTCCATCACCCCGCCCTATTCTTCCTCTTTCCATCACCCCGCCCCATTCTCCAGCTTACCATCACCCCGCCCCATTCTCCCGCTTTCCATCACCCCGCCCCATTCTCCAGCTTTCCATCACCCCGCCCCATTCTCCCGCTTTCCACCAACCCGCCCAATTCTCCCGCTTTCCATCACCCCGCCCCATTCTCCCGCTTTCCATCAACCCGCCCAATTCTCCCGCTTTCCATCACCCCGCCCCATTCTCCCGCTTTCCATCACCCCGCCCCATTCTCCCGCGTTCCATCACCCCGCCCCATTCTCCCGCTTTCCATCACCCCGCCCCATTCTCCCGCTTTCCATCACCCCGCCCTATTCTCCCGCTTTCCACCACCCTGCCCCATTCTCCCGCTTTCCATCACCCGGCCCCATTCTCCCGCTTTCCATCACCCCGCTCCATTCTCCCGCTTTCCATCACTCCGCCCCATTCTCCCGCTTTCTATCACCCCGCCCCATTCTCAAGCTTTCCATCACCCCGCCCCATTCTCCTGCTTTCCATCACCCCGCCCCATTCTCCCGCTTTCCATCACCTCGCCCCATTATCCCGCTTTTCATCACCCCGCCCCATTCTCCCGCTTTCCATCACCCCGGCCCATTCTCCCGTTTTCCATCACCCCGCCCCATTCTCCTGCTTTCCATCACCCCGCCCTATTCTCCCGCTTTCCATCACCCCGCCCCATTCTCCCGCTTTCCATCACCCCGTCCCATTCTCCCTCTATTCATCACCCCGCCCCATTCTCCCTCTTTCCACCACCCCGCCCCATTCTCCCGCTTTCCATCACCCCGGCCCATTCTCCCTATTTCCATCACGACGCTCCATTCTCCCACTTTCCATCACCCCGCCCCATTCTCCCGCTTTCCGTCACCCCGCCCCATTCTCCCGCTTTCCATCAACCCGCCCAATTCTCCCTCTTTCCATCACCCCTCCCCATTTTCCCGCTTTCCATCACCCCGCCGCATTCTCCCGCTTTCCATCACTCCGCCCCATTCTCCCGCTTTCCATCACCCCGCCCCATTCTTCCGCTTTCCATCACCTCGCCCCATTCTTCCGCTTTCCATCACCCCGCCCCATTCAACCCGCCCCATTCTCCCTCTTTCCATCAACCCGCCCCATTCTCCCGCTTTTCTTCACCCCGCCCCATCCTCCCTCTTTCCATCACCCCACCCCATTCTTCCGCTTTTCATCACCCTGCCCCATTCTCCCCCTTTCCATCACCCCGCCCCATTCCCCCTCTTTCCATCAGCCCGCCCCATTCTCCCGCTTTTCTTCACCCCGCCCCATTCTTCCGCTTTTCATCACCCCGCCCCATTCTCCCGCTTTCCATCACCCCGCCCCATTCTCCCGCTTTCCATCACCCCGCCCCATTCTCCCGCTTTCCATCACCCCGCCCCGCTTTCCATCACTCCGCCCCATTCTCCCACTTTCCATCACCCCGCCCTATTCTCAAGCTTTCCATCACCCCGCCCCATTCTCCCTCTTTCCATCACCCCGCCCCATTCTCCCGCTTTCCATCACCCCGCCCCATTCTCCCGCTTTCCATCACCCCGCCCGATTCTCCCGCTTTCCATCACCCCGCCCCATTCTCCCGCTTTCCATCACCCCGCCCCATTCTCCCGCTTTCCATCACCCCGCCCCTTTCTCCCTCTTTCCATCACCCCGCCCCATTCTCCCGCTTTCCATCACCCCGCCCCATTCTCCCGCTTTCCATCATCCCACCCCATTCTCCCGTTTTCCATCACCCGGCCCCATTCTCCCGCTTTCCATCACCCCACCCCATTCTCCCTCTTTTCATCACCCCGCCCCATTCTCCCACTTTCCATCACCCCACCCCATCCTTCCTCTTTCCATCGCCCCGCCCTATTCTTCCGCTTTTCATCACCCCGTCCCATTCTCCCTCTTTCCATCACCCTGCCCCATTCCCCCTCTTTCCATCAGCCTGCCCCATTCTCCCACTCTCTATCACCCCGCCCCATTCTCCCGCTTTCCATCACCCCGCTTTCCATCACCCCGCCCCATTCTCCCGCTTTCCATCACCCCGCCCCATTCTCCCTCTTTCCATCACCCCGCCCCATTCTCCCTCTTTCCATAACCCCGCCATATTCTCCCTCTTTCCATCACCCCGCAACATTCTCCCTCTTTCCATCAACCCACCCCATTCTCCCGCTTTCCATCACCCCACCCCATTCTCCCGCTTTCCATCAACCCGCCTCATTCTCCCGCTTTCCATCACCCCACCCCATTCTCCCGCTTTCCATCACCCCGCCCCATTCTCCCGCTTTCCATCACCCCCCCTATTCTCCCTCTTTCCATCACCCTGCCCCATTCTCCCGCTTTCCATCACCCAGCCCCATTCTCCTTTCCATCACCCCACCCAATTCTCCCGCTTTCCATCACCCCACCCCATTCTCCCTCTTTCCATCACCCCGCCCCATTCTCCCGCTTTCCACCACCCCGCTCCATTCTCCCGCTTTCCATCACCCCGCCCAATTCTCCCTCTTTCCATCACCCCTCCCCATTCTCCCTCTTTCTATCACCCCGCCACATTCTCCCGCTTTCCATCACCCCGCCTCATTATCCCTCTTTCCATCACCCCGCCCCATTCTCCCGCATTCCATCACCCCGCCCCATTCTCCCGCTTTCCATCATCCCGCCCCATTCTCCCTCTTTCCATCACCCCGCCCTATTCTCCTTCTTTCCATCACCCCGCCCCATTCTCTCGCTTTCCATCACCCCGCCCCATTCTCCCGCTTTCCATCACCCCCCCCCATTCTCCCGCTTTCCATCACCGCGCTCCATTCTCCCGCTTTCCATCACCCCGCCCAATTCTCCCTCTTTCCATCACCCCTCCCCATTCTCCCTCTTTCCATCACCCCGCCCCATTCTCCCGCTTTCCATCACCCCGCCCCATTCTCCCGCTTTCCATCACCCCGCCCCATTCTCCCGCTTTCCATCACCCCGCCCCATTCTCCTGCTTTCCATCACCCCGCCCCATTCTTCCGCTTTCCATCACCCCGCCCCATTCACCCCGCCCCATTCTCCCTCTTTCCATCAACCCGCCCCATTCTCCTGCTTTTCTTCACCCCGCCCCATTCTCCCTCTTTCCATCACCCCGCCCCATTCTCCCGCTTTCCATCACCCCCCCTATTCTCCCTCTTTCCATCACCCTGCCCCATTCTCCCGCTTTCCATCACCCAGCCCCATTCTCCTTTCCATCACCCCACCCAATTCTCCCGCTTTCCATCACCCCACCCCATTCTCCCTCTTTCCATCACCCCGCCCCATTCTCCCGCCTTCCACCACCCCGCTCCATTCTCCCGCTTTCCATCACCCCGCCCAATTCTCCCTCTTTCCATCACCCCTCCCCATTCTCCCTCTTTCTATCACCCCGCCACATTCTCCCGCTTTCCATCACCCCGCCTCATTATCCCTCTTTCCATCACCCCGCCCCATTCTCCCGCATTCCATCACCCCGCCCCATTCTCCCGCTTTCCATCATCCCGCCCCATTCTCCCTCTTTCCATCACCCCGCCCTATTCTCCCTCTTTCCATCACCCCGCCCCATTCTCTCGCTTTCCATCACCCCGCCCCATTCTCCCGCTTTCCATCACCCCCCCCCCATTCTCCTGCTTTCCATCACCGCGCTCCATTCTCCCGCTTTCCATCACCCCGCCCAATTCTCCCTCTTTCCATCACCCCTCCCCATTCTCCCTCTTTCCATCACCCCGCCCCATGCTCCCGCTTTCCATCACCCCGCCCCATTCTCCCGCTTTCCATCACCCCGCCCCATTCTCCCGCTTTCCATCACCCCGCCCCATTCTCCTGCTTTCCATCACCCCGCCCCATTCTTCCGCTTTCCATCACCCCGCCCCATTCACCCCGCCCCATTCTCCCTCTTTCCATCAACCCGCCCCATTCTCCTGCTTTTCTTCACCCCGCCCCATTCTCCCTCTTTCCATCACCCCGCCCCATTCTTCCGCTTTTCATCACCCTTCCCCATTGTCCCTCTTTCCATCACCCCGCCCCATTCCCCCTCTTTCCATCAGCCCGCCCCATTCTCCCGCTTTTCTTCACCCCGCCCCATTCTCCCTCTTTCCATCACCCCGCCCCATTCTTCCGCTTTTTATCACCCTACCCCATTGTCCCGCTTTCCATCACCCCGCCCCATTCTCCCGCTTTCCATCACCCCGCCCCATTCTCCCGCTTTCTATCACTCCGCCCCATTCTCCCGCTTTCCATCACCACGCCCCATTCTCAAGCTTTCCATCACCCCGCCCCATTCTCCCGCTTTCCATCACCCCGCCCCATTCTCCCGCTTTCCATCAACCCGCCCCATTCTCCCGCTTTCCATCACCCCGCCCCATTCTCCCGCTTTCCATCACCCCGCCCCATTCTCCCGCTTTCCATCTCCCCGCCCCTTTTTCCCTCTTTCCATCACCCCGCCCCATTCTCCCGTTTTCCATCACCCCGCCCCATTCTCCCCCTTTCCATCACCCCACCCCATTCTTCCGCTTTTCATCACCCCGCCCCATTCTCCCTCCTTCCATCACCCCGCCTCATTCTCCCTCCTTCCATCACCCCGCCCCATTCTCCCGCTTTCCATCACCCCGCCCCATTCTCCCGCTTTCCATCACCCAGCCCCATTCTCCCGCTTTCCATCACCCCGCCCCATTTTCCCGCTTTCCATCACCCCGCCCCATTCTCCCGCTTTCCATCACCCTGCCCCAATCTCCCGCTTTCCATCACCCCACCCCATTCTCCCTCCTTCCACCACCCCGCCCAATTCTCCCACTTTCCATCACCCCGCCCCATTCTCCCGCTTTCCATCACCCAGCCCCATTCTCCCGCTTTCCATCACCCCGCCCCATTCTCCCGCTTTCCATCACCCCGCCCCATTCTCCCTCCTTCCATCACCCCGCCACATTCTCCCGCTTTCCATCACCCCGCCCCATTCTCCCTCCTTCCATCACCCCGCCCCATTCTCCCTCCTTCCATCACCCCGCCCCATTCTCACGCTTTCCATCACCCCGCCCTATTCTCCAGCTTCCCATCAGGCTCCTAGACAAGGCAAGCTCCTAGACCAGGCAAGGTCCTGGACTAGGCAAGCTCCTAGACCAGGCAAGCTCGTGGACCAGGCAAGCTCCTAGACCAGGCAAGCTCCTGGACCAGGCAAGCTCCTGGACCACGCAAGCTCTTGGACCCGGCAAGCTCTTCGACCAGGCAAGCTTTTGGACCAGGCAAGCTCCTGGACAAGGCAAGCTCGTGGACAAGGCACGCTTTCGGACCAAGCAAGCTCCTAGATTAGGCACACTCCTGGACCAGGCAAGCTCCTGGACCAGGCAAGCCCCTAGACCAGGCAAGCTCTTGGACCAGGCAAGCTTTTGGACCACGCAAGCTCTTCGACCAGTGAAGCTCTTGGACTAGGCAAGTTCCTAGACCAGGCAAGCTCCTGGACCAGGCAAGCTCTTGGACCAAGCAAGCTCTTGGACCAGGCATGCTCTTGGACCAGGCAAGCTCTTAGACCAGACAGGCTTCTAGACCAAGCAAGCTCCTAGACCAAGCAAGCTCCTCGACTAGGCAAGCTTCTCGACCAGGCAAGCTCCTGGACCAGGCAAGTTCCTGGACTAGGCAAGCTCTTGGACCAGGCAAGCTCTTGGAAAAGGCATGCTCCTGGACCAGGCAAGCTCCTGGACCACGAAAGCTACTGGACCAGGCAAGCTCCTGGACCAAGCAAGCTCTTGGACCAGGCAAGCTCCTGGACCATGCAAACTCCTGGACCAGGCAAGCTCTTGGACCACGCAAGCTCCTGGACCAGGCAAGCTCCTGAACCAGACAAGCTCGTGGACTAGGGATGCTCCTGGACTAGGCAAGCTCCTGGACCAGGCAAGCTCCTGGACCAGGCAAGCTCTTGGACCAGGCAAGCTCATGAACCAGACAAGCTCGTGGACTAGGGATGCTCTTGGACCAGGCAAGCTCCTGGACCGGGCAAGCTCCTGGACCAAGCAAGCTCTTGGACCAGGCATGCTCTTGGACCAGGCAAGCTCTTAGACCAGACAGGCTTCTAGACCAAGCAAGCTCCTAGACCAAGCAAGCTCCTCGACTAGGCAAGCTTCTCGACCAGGCAAGCTCCTGGACCAGGCAAGTTCCTGGACTAGGCAAGCTCTTGGACCAGGCAAGCTCTTGGAAAAGGCATGCTCCTGGTCCAGGCAAGCTCTTGGACCAGGCAGGCTTTTGGACCAAGCAAGCTCCTAGACCAGGCACACTACTGGATCAGGCACGCTCCTGGACAAGGCAAGCTCCTGGACCAGGCAAGCTCCTGGACTAGACAAGCTCTTGGACTAGGAAAGCTCCTTGACCAGGCAAGCTCCTTGACAAGGCAAGCTAACGGACCAAGAAAGCTCCTGGACAAGGCAAGCTCCTACACCAGGCAAGCTCCTGGACCAGGCACGCTCTAGGACAAGGCAAGCTCATAAACCAGGCAAACTCGTGGACCAAGCACGCTCTTGGACCAGGCAAGCTCCTGGACCTGGAAAGCTCCTAGACCACGCAGGCTCCTTGACCAGGCAAGCTCTTGGACCAGGCATTCTCCTGGACCAGGCAAGCTCCTAGACTAGGCAAAGTCCTAGACCAGGCAAGCTCCTGGACCAGGCAAGCTCGTGGACCAGGAACGCTCCTGGACCAGGCAAGCTCTTGAACCAGGCAAGCTCCTGGACCACACAAGCTCTTGTACCAGGCAAACTCTTGGACTAGGCAAGCTCCTGGACATGGCAAGCTCCTGGACTAGGCAAGCTCCTCGACATGGCAAGCTCTTGGACCAGGCACGCTCCTGCACCAGGCAAGCTCCTAGATTAGGCAAGCTCCTGGACCAGGCAAGCTCCTACACCAGGCAAGCTACTGGAACAGGCAAGCTCGTGCACTAGGCAAGCTCGTGGACCAGGCAAGCACCTGGACCAGGCAAGCTCCTGGACCAGCCAAGCTCCTGGACGAGGCAAACTCCTGGACCAGGCAAGCTCATGGATTAGGCACGCTCCCGGACCATGCAAGCTCTTGGACCAGGCAGGATTATGGACCAAGCAAGCTCCAGGACAAGGCAAGCTCCTAGACCAGGCAAGCTCCTAGACCAGGCAAGCTCCTGGACCACGCAAGCTTAAGGACGAGGCATGCTCGTGGACCTGGCAAGCTCTTGGACCAGGCAGGATTCTGGACCAAGCAAGCTCCTGGACCAGGCAAGCTCCTGGACCAGGACAGTTCCTAGACCAGGCAAGCTCCTTGACCAGGCAAGCTCCTGGACTAGGCAAGCTCCTGGACCATGCAAGCTCCTGGACCAGGCACGCTCGTGGACCAGGCAAGCTCTTGGACCAGGCATGCTCGTGGACCAGGCACGCTCCTGGACCATGCAAGCTCCAGGACCAGGCAAGCTCCTGGACAAGGCAAGCTCCTAGACCAGGTACGCTCGTGGACCAGGCACGCTCCTGGACCAGGCATGCTCCTGGACAAGGCAAGCTCCTGGACCACGCAAGCTCTTGGACCAAGCAAGCTCTTGGACCAGGCATGCTCTTGGACCAGGCAAGCTCTTAGACCAGACAGGCTTCTAGACCAAGCAAGCTCCTAGACCAAGCAAGCTCCTCGACTAGGCAAGCTTCTCGACCAGGCAAGCTCCTGGACCAGGCAAGTTCCTGGACTAGGCAAGCTCTTGGACCAGGCAAGCTCTTGGAAAAGGCATGCTCCTGGACCAGGCAAGCTCCTGGACCACGAAAGCTACTGGACCAGGCAAGCTCCTGGACCAAGCAAGCTCTTGGACCAGGCAAGCTCCTGGACCATGCAAACTCCTGGACCAGGCAAGCTCTTGGACCACGCAAGCTCCTGGACCAGGCAAGCTCCTCAACCAGACAAGCTCGTGGACTAGGGATGCTCCTGGACCAGGCAAGCTCCTGGACCAGGCAAGCTCCTGGACCAGGCAAGCTCTTGGACCAGGCAAGCTCATGAACCAGACAAGCTCGTGGACTAGGGATGCTCTTGGACCAGGCAAGCTCCTGGACCGGGCAAGCTCCTGGACCAAGCAAGCTCTTGGACCAGGCATGCTCTTGGACCAGGCAAGCTCTTAGACCAGACAGGCTTCTAGACCAAGCAAGCTCCTAGACCAAGCAAGCTCCTCGACTAGGCAAGCTTCTCGACCAGGCAAGCTCCTGGACCAGGCAAGTTCCTGGACTAGGCAAGCTCTTGGACCAGGCAAGCTCTTGGAAAAGGCATGCTCCTGGAACAGGCAAGCTCTTGGACCAGGCAGGCTTTTGGACCAAGCAAGCTCCTAGACCAGGCACACTACTGGATCAGGCACGCTCCTGGACAAGGCAAGCTCCTGGACCAGGCAAGCTCCTGGACCAGACAAGCTCTTGGACTAGGAAAGCTCCTTGACCAGGCAAGCTCCTTGACCAGGCAAGCTAACGGACCAAGAAAGCTCCTGGACAAGGCAAGCTCCTACACCAGGCAAGCTCCTGGACCAGGCACGCTCTTGGACAAGGCAAGCTCATAAACCAGGCAAACTCGTGGACCAAGCACGCTCTTGGACCAGGCAAGCTCCTGGACCAGGAACGCTCCTGGACCAGGCAAGCTCTTGAACGAGGCAAGCTCCCGGACCACACAAGCTCTTGTACCAGGCAAACTCTTGGACTAGGCAAGCTCCTGGACATGGCAAGCTCCTGGACTAGGCAAGCTCCTCGACATGGCAAGCTCTTGGACCAGGCACGCTCCTGCACCAGGCAAGCTCCTAGATTAGGCAAGCTCCTGGACCAGGCAAGCTCCTACACCAGGCAAGCTACTGGAACAGGCAAGCTCGTGCACTAGGCAAGCTCGTGGACCAGGCAAGCACCTGGACCAGGCAAGCTCCTGGACCAGCCAAGCTCCTGGACGAGGCAAACTCCTGGACCAGGCAAGCTCATGGATTAGGCACGCTCCTGGACCATGCAAGCTCTTGGACCAGGCAGGATTATGGACCAAGCAAGCTCCAGGACTAGGCAAACTCCTAGACCAAGCACGCTCCTGGACAAGGCAAGCTCCTAGACCAGGCAAGCTCCTAGACCAGGCAAGCTCCTGGACCACGCAAGCTTAAGGACGAGGCATGCTCGTGGACCTGGCAAGCTCTTGGACCAGGCAGGATTCTGGACCAAGCAAGCTCCTGGACCAGGCAAGCTCCTGGACCAGGACAGTTCCTAGACCAGGCAAGCTCCTTGACCAGGCAAGCTCCTGGACTAGGCAAGCTCCTGGACCAAGCAAGCTCCTGGACCAGGCACGCTCGTGGACCAGGCAAGCTCTTGGACCAGGCATGCTCGTGGACCAGGCACGCTCCTGGACCATGCAAGCTCCAGGACCAGGCAAGCTCCTGGACAAGGCAAGCTCCTAGACCAGGTACGCTCGTGGACCAGGCACGCTCCTGGAGCAGGCATGCTCCTGGACAAGGCAAGCTCCTGGACCACGCAAGCTCTTGGACCAGGCACGCTTCTGGACCAAGCAAGCTCCTCGACCAGGCAAGCTCCTGGACCAGGCAAGCTCCTGGACCAGGCAAGCTCCTGGACCAGGCAAGCTCCTGGACCAGGCAAGCTCCTGGACCAGGACAGTTCCTAGACCAAGCAAGCTCCTTGACCAGGCAAGCTCCTGGACTAGGCAAGCTCCTGGACCAAGCAAGCTCCTGGACCAGGCACGCTCGTGGACCAGGCAAGCTCTTGGACCAGGCATGCTCGTGGACCAGGCACGCTCCTGGACCATGCAAGCTCCAGGACCAGGCAAGCTCCTGGACAAGGCAAGCTCCTAGACCAGGCACGCTCGTGGACCAGGCACGCTCCTGGACCAGGCATGCTCCTGGACAAGGCAAGCTCCTGGACCACGCAAGCTCTTGGACCAGGCACGCTTCTGGACCAAGCAAGCTCCTCGACCAGGCAAGCTCCTGGACCAGGCACGCTCCTGGACCAGGCAAGCTCCTGGACCAGGCAAGCTCCTGGACCAAGCAAGCTCGTGGACCAGGCAAGCTCTAGGACCAGGCAAGCTCCTGGACCAGGCAAGCTCTTGGATAAGGCACGCTCCCGGACCAGGCCAGCTCTTGGACCAGGCAAGCTTCTTGACCAAGCAAGCTGCAGGACCAGGCACACTCCTCGAC